AGGTAATACAGTTGGCTTCTTAGAATTTTGAGAACCCTTTTAAAATAATACTCCCAATATGAAAAGAACCTGACTATTTAAGACCAGAATATTTAACAGCAATGGCTATGCCCTCATTCATTCACTCACTGAAGATTAACTCAGACTCGATGTCAAACTCTGTGCTGAATAGGCTATACAATTAGGAGCTAAAACCAGCCTATTCCTTGCATCCATGGAACTGAACCGCCTAGGACAGAAGCTACTATTTAAACACTTGCACAAATAAGGGGGGTGTCTAGGTAGTAAATGTGCTGTTTGTGCATGAGAGAGGAGGGACATCAAGAAAGGCTTCCCTGAGGGAGGGCCCAGAGAACCAGCGTCTGACGAATAGACCTGAGTTGACTTGATAATAAAGAAAAAGAAGAGTGTCCTTTGCAAAGTTCTGTGTGGGAGGGAAAGTAGCAAGGCAAGTACTGGCAGAAGGTCATTGTGATCGTGTACATTCAGGGTTAATACATGTGGGATGATACCAGACAAAAGGCAGGGCCACGCAGGCTGCTGCAGTGATTTTTTTTTTTTTTTTGACAGGCAGAGTGGACAGTGAGAGAGAGAGAGAGAAAGGTCTTCCTTTACCGTTGGTTCACACTTCAATGGCGCGCGCGGCGCACTGTAGCGGCGCACTGCACTGATCGAAGCAGGGCCAGGTGCTTCTCCTGGTCTCCCATGCGGGTGCAGGGCCCAAGCACTTGGGCCATCCTCCACTGCACTCCCAGGGCACAGCAAAGAGCTGGCCTGGAAGAGGGGCAACCGGGACAGAATCCGGTGCCCAACCGGGACTAGAACCCGGAGTGCCGGTGCTGCAAGGCGGAGGATTAGCCTATTGAGCCGTGGCGCTGGCCAGTGCAGTGATTTTTGTATTATTCTTGGAGCTCTGCTATACTGATGTGGGGGGTGAATCACCTGATAGACATTTTGAAAAGACTTCTCTGACTTGTGTGAGAAATGGATTGAAGAGAAACCTGTGCGTAGACACCTTAGGACACTGCTAGAGAAGCCCTGATAATAGATGATGGCAAGGATTGGGAAGTACTGAGAGTGGAAGTGTTGGCAAAAGGAAGGTTTTGTAAATATTTAAGAGATAGAATCATCCTGATATGGTAATGAATTGGCTTGTAGATGAGGATGGGTGTGTGTGGATTACCCTGGCTTCAGGCCTTCTGGCCTGTACAGTCGATGGACAGTGATGTGGTCCAACAGAACAAGGAATAATAAAAGAGAGTTCAGTTTGGGGACATCTAAGGATTGTATGTATGAGCTACGTGGCAACATGAAATAAGGAAATAATTAATCTCTTAAGGTGCTGTGCAATACTGTGTTATATATTTCATTAGCTCTTTCTTTTTAATAACTGGAGCCTACCAATGCCACATCCAAACAATAGGTAAGTACAAACATGACTGAATCAAAGATAACTCAGGTGGTGTTGTGAACATTGTGTTGAGATAGTGAAAACTTTTGTAAGGTTTTGCAGTGTCCCTACTGAAAGATCCAGAAAACCCCATCTAGGAATAGCAGGTTAAAGGACTAGCAGTAGATGAGTAATATTTTAGAGTGGATGATTAAAAGAGATAACAGCTCAAATTTGGTTGAGGGAAGAGTAGTGTAAGGAGCTCACTTAAAAGCAGGCTAAGTTTAGGTGCTTTGACATCTAGATAGAGATATCCAAGGGAATTTGTGTCTGAAGCTCAGGGCAGAGATCAGGAATAGAGAGGAAGCTGTGAAATCACCTATCAGTAAGTGATTTTGAATGTCTGTCCATCTAGGGAGAATGCAAATGGACAGAAGAGAAAAGAGTAACATTTATTTAGCTGAGATGCTTATTGAGTGACTAAAATATATGGGATAATGTGGTAAATTATTTCAGATCAGTGTTTTATTTAATCCCTCACTATTTTTTTGGCAATACCTTTATTTTTAGCCCATTTGCTTAAGAAAGCTATGGAAATTCCAAGAGGTTGGTATCTTGTCCAAGGTCACACAGCCAAGAAGTGATAAAATCAGGGCTCAAACCAAAGTCTCATGATGTCAAGCTCAAAGCTATTCTCCTATGCCTCAGCCATTCCATGTCAACCACTTGAGGATAGAACCACGGGTGACACGAGCTTTAAGAAGTGGGCTAAGAAAGGTCTAGAGTAGAAGAGGTGGCAGGGTATGAGAGAAGCGGTGGGAGGTTGAAGAGAGGGTGGATTGGTAGAATGGTATCAGACAGAATACATGAAGGCTGCACTGTATGGGGTGAGGCATGAAGGGAAGGTGAGGAAAGGAAATCCCTGAGCAGCACTGCTGGGTGTAGAAGGTGCCCAGGGCATGGAGAAGGCAGCAGCGGAGGAGTTCATGGCAGCCTGAGGTCTACAGGACTTCCTTGAGTGGCAAGAGCTGAATGTAGAGCTGTGGTGGGGAGTACATGCCCTGAGACCTCTCAGAGCAGCATCAGTAGTACACAGTCTTAGACCAGCTGAGCTGTGCTAACTGAAGGTAACTTTGTGAGTATAAAAAGGCAATTCTGGGTCTAAGCTTGTTTTTGAAGTCTTTTAAGTAATCATCACTTGACTCTTCAGTTGTTGATCTCTTGTGAGAAGAGGTCTCTGAAAGTTATATGAAGGAGTTCGTCAAGATATATAGACCCTTGACGGTTTTTCAAGTAAATATTTTCTTGCACATCAGTATGAGGCCATATGCTATTTATGGTTAGTGTTCAAAGAAGACATCATAAATTAGTGCTTGAGTAGAATGTTCTAGATTGGTTCTCCTATAGTTATTTGTATCCATCTCACTGACTTGGGGTTGTCTTCTGAGATCATAAGAGGGCCTGAAACTTCTCTACCAGCCCATTTCTCATGGGATATTTGATTTTTGATAGATTCATGTGTTCCCTTATATACATTCCCAGCAGTAGCAATACCTTCCTTTTGGTATCAAGGTTGTTTCTAAACTTCAATATCTGAAACAGTATTATAAAATTCAATTCCAAAGTTTTTGCCTTTTGAAAATCGTCTTCTTTTGATGTGGACTGATAGTTCAATTCAGGGTACATAGTATTTCATAGGAGACGTCTTCTTTCATGTGTTGATGGTATTTTCCTTATTTCTCCCTCCTGGCCTCCTATATGATAAAAGTGTTACTATCTAGGAAGAGCAACTGCGTTTTACCTTCTCTGTCATTTTCTGGAGTTGCTTGGGGGTGATTTATGAGTGCATACTTTCTTCTGTAGATATTGCCACACCCTGGGAAATGCTTCACAAACTTCATAGTCTAAACCATTCCTCTATAATTAATGGTGTCATCCCTACTTCCAAATGGTATGAGAACCCAGGCAGGTAGGAATTGTCTTGGTGGCTATGAGTTAGTCCTAGTGGAGAATCTACTCATAACTAAATAAAATTCTACCTTTGATTATGACACAAGAAAACTGTTTTAATGCCACAAGTTGTACTGGGCCCTGGGGACATAATAGTGGACTAATGGGTACAACTCTTCTTTTGAGGTGCTTCCTGCCTAGGGAAAAGAAATCCGCTTCAAAGAATGTAGCTGAAAGCTAAGCAAAGCTTAATGACAAGTGAGAAATAGATTCCTTACTTAATATTGAACACATATTGATCAATTGGCCATGGGTCAACCACCTAGATGAGGAAGTGAATATAGCAGTGACTATGAGGGACAAAGTCCCGTAAAGACCTTTGCTTACATTTGTAATTGGGTGATAATCTTGCTTGCATCCCGTATCCGAGTGTCTGGGTTCTGGCCCCGGCTCCCCTTGTGATTCCAGCTTCCTGCTAGTGTGTACCCTGTGTGGCCAATGTGTGGCTGTGAGGTGATGGCTCAAAGACTTTTGTCCCTGCAACTCATATTGCAGATTTGGAATTGAATTCCTGGCTCCTGATTTGAGCATGACCTAGCCCTAGCTGTTGTTGGCATTTGTCTCTCTACCTTTCAAACAAATTTAAAACAGTTTTTAAAGTAGTACTATGGGGGCTGGCACTGTGGCACAGTGGGTTAAAGCCCCAGCCTGCAGCATCAACATCTTACATGGGTGCTAGTTCAAATCCCAGCTGCTCCACTTTTTTTTTTTTTTTTTTTTTTTTTGACAGGCAGAGTGGACAGTGAGAGAGAGACACAGAGAGAAAGGTCTTCCTTTGCTGTTGGTTCACCCTCCAATGGCCGCCGCCGCGCACCATAATCCGATGGCAGGAGCCAGGTGCTTCTCCTGGTCTCCCATGGGGTGCAGGGCCCAAGCACCTGGGCCATCCTCCACTGCAGTCCCTGGCCACAGCAGAGAGCTGGCCTGGAAGAGGGGCAACCGGGACAGAATCCGGCACCCTGACCGGGACTAGAACCTGGTGTGCCAGCGCTGCAAGGCGGAGGATTAGCCTAGTGAGCCATGGCGCCGGCGCTGCTCCACTGCTGATCCAGCTCTCTGCTAATGTGCCGGGGTAAGCAGCAAAAGCAGCAGAGGATGGCTCAATTCCTTAGGCCCATGCACCCACATGGGAGACCTGGAAGAAGCTCCTGGCTTCTGATCAGCTCAGCTGTGGCTGTAGTGGCCTTTTGGGGAGTGACCAGAGGATGGAAGAAGACCCCTATCTTTGTCTCTACCTGTCTCTGTAACTCTGTCTTTCAAGTTAAAAAAAATCTTTTTTTTTCCAAAAAAAATACTATCTTAATAAGTTCCACATCTTGAGATGCATGTTTCTAATATGTACTTGACGAAGGTGTTGGCAAAGTGTATTGACTGTGATTTTCTTAAAAAAATAAGTATATATAAAATAATAATAAATATATATAACTATGCATAAGTAAATAGATATACATATATAAAGTAGAAATGACAGTGGTTCTAGCTATAAAAATATACTTTCTGTCCACTTTCACTTTTCCTAGTCAGTAACATTTAATAGTAAGCAATATAACTGGCTGTAACTGATGTGATTATCTTCATATATTCTATGTCACTTTTACAGTTATTGCCAGTTTTCGAGGAACCATACCATATGGCCTGTCATTGGAAATTGGAGACACAGTTCAGATCCTGGAGAAGTGTGATGGTGAGTGGCCTACTGCTGATTGCTTGAGGTTGTATGAGCAACCTTCTCAACATACACTTTACAAATGCTGTCTTTACCTCGATTAATTTCTGGTCACAGCACATCATTTTGGAAAAAAAGTTGTCTCTTGCATATTCAGTGTTTGGCTTATGAAAAGGTATCATTTGATGTCTCTAAGCTGATTGCATGTTTCCTAATATTGTTTCCTTAATGTCCTAGATGCTTACATAGAAAATAATTGCAGGTGCTCTGCGAGTTTGTGACTCAGTCAGTGCCAATCTAGAAGACTTTTCACAGAATCCCAGCAGTCCCGCTGTTCCCCCAGGAAAGGAAAAAGCAGTTTGTGAGCAAAGAGGGCTGGCCCACCAGGGAGGGCTCCTGCCCAGGCCAATGAGCTGTAGACCTGCAGTTTTTCTCCCTCCCTTCCCCTCAAAAAAATTGGAATGAAATTATTCAATGCATTTGAAATGTTAGTGCAAATATATATGTGACCTTATATGACTGTTGTTTATTTATGTAGTGCAGGTAACTCATTAAAGGTGTCTGATATACTTTCCTTTTCTCTCCTGTGAATCATCCTTAAACTCAAAAGATTCCAAATAAAATGACTATTCTTTTATTCTTAACAAAATGACTGTTTTAAAGCCCCATCAGTGTGTCTTAAAAATTTAATTTTCCTCCTAACAAGCTTTCCTTATTAGTCATTAAAAATAGGATCACATTCTATCATATCAGATTCATTACAGATTAAATTGTATCCCCCCAAATGGAACTATTTTATTGAGAACCAGCATTGAATGGGGCTGCTACATGGATGTTTAATCTGTCTACTGTATCTGATGTCTTCAAAAGTACAATAAGGTATCCTACGTCATTAGCAGATATAGTTTGTCTATTTTTGTGTACAGATAAATAAAAATTTTATTTTGATTTGTGGCTTAAAAAAAGGATTCAATGCCTAGTGGAAGCTGCCTTGTAAAGCTTTTCTATATGTTATAATTGGACAGAGACCTCTCTGTAACATTTATGCAATCCTCAAAAAGTTTTGGTTTCTGTTAGAATAATTGTTTCTTGGCTCTGTCTTTATGGAAGCTGATAATCCCTGAGGTAAAGAGTTCTGATTTTTCAGCTTAATATGATTTCTTCAGATTGATTTTGAAATTGTTAGGGACAGTACTTCACAATCTTGTATATACTTTTAAGAAAATGTATTATAAAGAACAAAAACGACTAAATCCAAAGCTCATACATTTGGTTGCTTTTCAAGACTCAATTAGCCAAAAAACTAAAAAATTCAATTAGAATAGTTATTGTTTATCGGAAGAATTACTTGTCAATAAGCAAAGAGGTTTCTACATTTGAAAAGAAATATAAGCTACAAATAATACATTTATACAGGGCTGCATAAAATTATATTTGTAATGTATATGTATTAAATCCGTACATAGGTTTTAAGCTGTAAAATAATATGTTGCTCTGTAAGGATGGGGCTGTAACAGTTGCTCAGAGCCCAAGAAATAGGCCTTATATAGGAAAAAATTCATGCTGCACTCAGGTGATTTGGCACAGTGCTGTGCATGTGTACTGGTTGATTCTGGTAGCAAGTGAAACCTAGCTTTCCTATTTTTATGTTGTAAAACTGATCCTAACTCAAGACAGTGGCCTTAGTGATGTCCAAATTCACTACATGACTATTTTTCAGGCCCTGTTATTTGGTGGTAGTCTGAGCTTTGTAGTCAGGCAAACAAATCTGGAAAGACCATAGATCTTCTGCAGTTTCTTGACTTGTTATAAAATGGGGAGAAATGGTGCTCAGAGAAGTTAAGTAACTTGCCCAGGATTAAATAACTGATACGTAGCAAAGCCATAATTTCTGCCCAGTGCTCTGATTTCTGATTTTTTACTGCTGTGATATGTGTGTCTATTTCTTATATAAATCCCTGATCATTTTTTAAAACAGGTTTATTAATAGAATATTTGAAGCTAGTTGTCACTGGAGCTATCTTTTAGCCTAATCTCAATGCCTACCAATATTTCCATGTAGGATAAATTTCCATCAGCAGAGAACAGATTTATTTATTACTATTTGTTATCTTTATATTATTACAATGGCTTATTGAAATGTTACTACAATTATTTCTCTACAGGCTGGTACAGAGGATTTGCCTTAAAAAACCCAAATATCAAGGTAAAAATTATTATCTTCATAATCATAGAATTTTTTTAAAAAAAAGATAAATTGTTACTTAAGTCATTGTGTTATACAATTGCAGTTACAGTTAAGACTTTTAGTTGAAATGCCAAATGGTAATACAGGTATTCCTAATTTTGGAAATTCCTTTGAACTTGGATTATAGTTAAAATATGCTACTCAAATGATAATCCCATGTAGCTCTTGAAAATTGTGCTGAGAAGACCTTAATAAGCTCATTATATATAGACATCTTTTTGAAGTGTTAGTTTTCAGGGAACTAAATTAATATTCAGGCCAAGGGAATATATATTTCAAAAGAAATATTGAATAGAAGTATTTAGTTTTCATGTTGTTTTGTTCTTTCATTTGTAAAATATTGGTGTGGAGAAACATTTATTTTAGCAGCATGTTGAGAGTCCCTTTGGGGTTAGGGAGCTGGAGCTATTGAAACCATATAATAAAAATGTCCATCTTTTTTACCATTCCAGACAGAAACTAGGATTCATTATCCTCCATGTATTTACATAAATTCTCAGGAATTATAGTAGGATGTAATATGTCTTTGTTTTATGTTTCATTGGTGTATTTTGTGATTTTGACACTAATCCTTACTAATATCTAGGTTTTTCTACCTTATTCTAATCTCCCCAGCTTTTATCCATACTTTCCACATTCTCTAAATGTTCTTAAGCTTTATTCATTTTTTTGGTTCAATTCTAGCTTTATCAGGATTGTAGATAATAAATTATATCATTTCTCATCCTCAAAGTAGAGTGTAAGAAATAGAATCTGGCTTGCCTGCATTTTTTGTTTAAACAATTCTTTTTCTGAATCATCCAACTGCATGTTATTCATTTCATTTATTTTAAGTCATTCTAAAGGAGACCCTAAGGAACAAAAGACTATACAAATTTAATTTTTAAATACATTACCCCTCATTTAGTTTAGTTGTTACTGGACATCTGCCAGGCAAAACACATACAAATATACCTTCAGTATTTAATTATTTGTTTAAAACTTTGAGGAAAAATCTTATTATGACTTATCTGTTAACTCTGTTACTTCTAACAAATCTTAAACTCCAACTTTTTTTGTTAACTATAATTATTCTATTATAACTGTAATTATTCTATTTTTTAATCCTACAATATTGAGGCAAGCAAAATTTGCTTGTTAAATTTTATTTTATACTTGCATCCACAATGATAATATATTCAAATGGCATTTATTCTTAAATATTTAATTAAGTTTGTTGTTTGATTAGACATCAGAAATCCTCCAGAGGATATTGTCATTTAGTGGACAATAAAACCATTGCTCGTTTCATTGTTTCTTTCAATTTCCTGTTTAGAACAAAGAACAATTTTCTGGGCTTGTCATTTCCCTACAATAAAATGCTGGATGCCAGAGCATGGCTCCTTTTGTTTAATTTTTGCTCCATCACAATGACAGCATGGTGATTAATTGCTGCTGTGTTGTCATCAACAATCTTCTTTGGGATGTGGTGTACATATTGTCTCCTAATTCACAGTGTTGGGTATTTTTAATGTATACTTTAAAAGAGAAATGTGGAAGAGAACAAAAAAGGAAAACAAATCTTTGTTCAGAATTATAGAATATTTTTTAAAATCTTATTTTGCATGATCTATTAATGTAGAGTTCCTGAAAATTTTTAACTTTTAGCTTTATAAAGAACATATTTTTGGAATGAAATTTAGGGTTTTCTTCTATTCTGTTTGTTGTAGAATCTCTAAATTTGTGAATTAGTTAATAATAGAAAATGAAAGGAATGGATCTAAGCCTCAACAGATTTTAGCTGGTAAAACATGATAGAGATGGTCTTCCCCAACTCCTGATAATGTGTGGTTGTGACTGTTTCAGAGTTGTGTGATTGTCAGATGTCGTGTTCTGTGATATTTGACTTATAAAACCAACCCAGCCTTTCCAGACAACTTGTGATGTGACCTTTCTATTTTCTCTTCCAGGGTATATTTCCTTCCAGCTATGTTCATTTGAAAAATGCCTGTGTAAAAAACAAAGGGTAAGAAATACTTTTTATTAATAGTTTTAGGATTTTCATGGAACCATTGCTTATGTTGGAATTTGAAAGGCTTAATAATTGTTTTGAAAAATGAACTGTAGAAGATCATAGCATTGGTAAAGATGTATTGCACTAATGCATGTCTGCATTTGCTGGACAACACTGGATCTCGGGCACTGAACTGTCCACAAATCATAGAGTCGGCTTCATCTACAGCAGGAGTTGACTCCTTTTGGTTTCCTGCTCCATGGGGAAGCATGGCGGTTAGGCCCATTAAATGCTGAGTCATGATGTTTCAAAACCCAGAAATTTCCTAGACTCACCACTGATTATAGGAAGTTAAGTCTTTCTTTCTCTAAATGGGTATAATATCATATTCTCCTGTGACTTCTTCACAGAGCCTTTATATGACTTTGGAGACTGTCATTTATATGATTCTTTGTTGGATTAAGGTCATTAATCACCTAGGATTTCTTTTGTATTTAAATTTTTTGCCAGTATGTTTCCAAAAGGATTTGAAGTAGCTGTCAGTTTAACGTCATTCAAAGAAGCTATTGCAAGATAAAGTAGTAGAACTTCTCTATTTAAATAGTTAAATTAGTAGATCATTCATTATAAGGTTGCAAGATAAAGTAGTAGAATTTGCCTATTTAAATAGTTAAAGTAACAGATCATACATTATAAGGCGGCCATGGATTTGGACACAAATATTGGTGCCAGTGTCACTAGGAGTATTCATTGAATCTTTGCATAATATTCATTTTATGACAAAAGAATGCAGTTTTAGCCATAGAAGTTACATTTTATCGCACATAGCACTAAAACACAGTTTATTATTAAAGCTCCAAAAGTATAGTAGGTGATATCATTACCAAAAAGCTCCAAGGCAGCTATTCAAAAAGATTATTCTTGTATCCATAAAGGTGTGGTATTCAATTTTAGTTCAGTGGTAGGAAGTCTGCGTGTGGTGAGCCCATGGTAGAAATACTTTCAGTGTACCTGTGTGGATGAAACACAGAATTGAAGTGACTTACACTATATATCTCACACATGTCAGCTAGTTTAGGTAGTACTGGTGGTAGTTAGTAATAGGAATTATTTTAAATCGTACACTAAAAGCATAGTTCTGATGTTAGTAATTATCACTAAAGTGTCATGTACTACAACCTAACAGAAGAGTTTTCAGTCTTCTCTGAGCGCTCGTGCTAAGCTTTATTTTTTGTTTTTTGTTTTTTTTTTTTTGTGTGTGTGTGTGTGTGTGTTTATTTGAAAGGTAAAGTTATAGAGAGAGAGAGGAAGAGACAGAGACAGAGGTCTTCTATCCACTGTTCTACTCCCCAAATGGCCGCAATGGCCAGTACTGGGCTGATCTGAAGCCAGGAGACAGGAACTTCTTCCAGGTCTCCCCAGTGGGTACAGGGCCCAAGCACTTGAGCCATCTTCCACTGCCTTCCCAGGACATTAGCTGGGAGCTGGATCAGAAGTGGAGTAGCTAGATCTTAACATGTCCATCTGGGCTAGTCCATTCAGCCAGTCCTCTCGGCAACTTTTGCATGGAAATACCTTCATTTTATTTGAAACTTGTTAGAAACTGGTATATATCTGGTCCCCTTCTGTGTGCCCCCAGGATGCTCAAATGTAAAGGTATCTAAATATTTGTTCATGGCCGGCGCCGCGGCTCACTAGGCTAATCCTCCACCTTGCGGCGCCAGCACACCGGGTTCTAGTCCTGGTCAGGGCACCGGATTCTGTCCCGGTTGCCCCTCTTCCACGCCAGCTCTCTGCTGTGGCCAGGGAGTGCAGTGGAGGATGGCCCAAGTGCTTGGGCCCTGCACCCCATGGGAGACCAGGAGAAGCACCTGGCTCCTGCCATTGGATCAGCGCGGTGCGCCGGCCGTCAAAAAAAAAAAAAAAAAAAAAAAAAAAGATTTGTTCATGCTGGTGGAAGACTTGTTTGTGGCTTTTCCACCTGACAGTAGGCACGGTGACAGGCCGAAGAGCTCTGTTTTAGAACAAAATATTTTCCAATTAAAGAATTACTGGAATTGATTCAGACACCAGTTCTAGGAATGTTGCTGGGAGGAAAACTTTGGCCTGGAATCTTCTGAGGACACCTATTGGCAGATGATTGGTTTCCCAGAGAGGATCTCTTTTTGGAATTAGATATAACTTGTCTTGTTTGAAACAGATTTGTAGCCTGCTGGTCTACCAGAGTGAAACAGTTGCAGAGTACATCTGAGAATAACTGAACAAAATATAATTTCAAGAGCAACTACTTATGTGACCGAGTATTTGAATGCTAATTTTGGTTTTGGTATACTTAATAGGAAACAGCTGCCTTGCCTGCAATAGCAATTTTGTGCTTAAAAATTTATATTTTAATTGGACAACCCTCACATCAACTTCCAGTAGACTGAATTGCCTTTATGTTCTTTTCCTGGGTCTTCAGAGCAATGTAGAACTGATAGGGGTCCTTAAATTAAATTATAGTTTGTGAATAGTGAGGCCACTTTGTATTAGCATTTATGGAGGTCCTGTCACTTCTTAAATGTTAAGTAGAATGTCAAGGTTTCCTTGAAATTCAGTTCTCCCTTCTTGACCTCATAAAGGATCATTTTATAATCTTCCTCTCAAAATATTCATCATTTGAATTCCAACAGCTGCTCTGAAAGCAAAATAAATGTACTAGTATGTGAAAATGTCATATGTAGACTTAATAAAAGGCTCTGTATCTGCTGCAGGGCATATATTATTATTATTTACTTTCACTTCTAGTTTTAAAATCCAAGTTTTATATTTTCTGCAGTGTTTAAACTCTAGCAAGAAGGAAACTAGTCACAGAACAGGTATTTTAGCTGCAGTGTAATATGAGAAGATGAAGGACCATTGGTGAAGGAATCTGGAAAAAATTTTCTTTTTTTTTAAACTTTTATTTAGTAAATATAAATTTCCAAAGTACAGTTTATGGATTACAATGGCTTCCCCCCCCATAACTTCCCTCCTACCCACATCCCTCCTATCTCCAGCTCCCTCTTCCATTCCATTCACATCAAGATTCATTTTCAATTATCTTTATATACACAAGATCGATTCAGTATATATTAAGTAAAGATTTCATCAGTTTGCACCCACACAGAACATAAAATGTAAAATACTGTTTCAGTACTAGTTATAGCATTAATTTACACTGGACAACACATTAAGGACAGAGATCCTACGTGAGGAGTAAGTACACAGTAACTCCTGTTGTTGACTTAACAATTTGACACTCTTGTTTATGGTATCAATAATCTCCCTAGGCTCTTGTCATGAGTTGCCAAGGCTATGGAAGCCTTTTGAGTTCGCCGACTTCAATCTTATTCAGACAAGGTCATAGTCAAAGTAGAAGTTCTCTCCTCCCTTCAGAGAAAGGTACCTCCTTCTTTGATGGCCCATTCTTTCTACTGGAATCTCACTCGCAGAGATCTTTCATTTAGGTTTTTTTTTTTCTTTTCCAGAGTGTCTTGGCTTTCTATGCCTACAATACTCTCATGGGCTCTTCAGCCAGATCCGAATGCCTTAAGGGCTGATTCTGAGGCCAGAGTGCTGTTTAGGACATCTGCCATTCTATGAGTCTGCTGTGTATCCCGCTTCCCATGTTGGATCATTCTCTCCCTTTTTTATTCTATCAGTTAGTATTCGCAGACACTAGTCTTGTTTGTATGATCCCTTTGACTCTTAGACCTATCAGTATGATCAATTGTGAACTGAAATTGATCACTTGGACTAGTGAGATGGCATTCTGTCAATACCATCGGAGGAGTGACAGGCATACACGCTTTGGATATAACTTCAAAAAGGAACAGCAGAGCAGTTATTAGCCTCATGCTAAGAAGTAATTTTCCCTTGACCATCTAGACAACCTGGCTTAATGTCTAATGTGCTGTTACAGTCTCCATATTGGATGTTGGCCTTGAGAAGAATGTATTGAAATAAAGAAAATCATCCCCATCAAGATGGCTGGTAGCATTTTTTGAGAGGCTGTAGTCATAAGAGCCATTTAACTACTTTAACCTGCATAAAAACTTAAAGTATTTGTAAAAAGAAACTAGAGATAAAGAAAAGGAGATTATTTTTTGCCAAAGGTATGATTCAAAGGACAAACTAAATCTTCCTCTTCTGTACCCAACCCCCCATATGTATCGTCTCAAATTCTGGACCACCATATGTACCTTAATTATTTGTTGGAGTAAATATTCTCCAAGTTGAGTTTCTGACTTTGACAGAAGACATTGGAAGACCACATTGCATGAGTCATGTAAAGAGTGAATATCCAAATATCCATGAGGTCTTAAGCCCTTAAATGTAAAGAGTGAATATCTAAATATCCATGTGGTCTTAAGCCCTTAAATTCTGTGCTGATCTATCCTGATCCTTTGTGATGGCTCTGTTTGCACAAAAATGAAGTGTTAATGAATCCAAGTGAGTGTTCAGGCAGTGTCTGGGTATCTAGTTATTTATAATACTACGTTAGTTTGGATGTTCACAGCTTTCCTATCTTAATGGTTGCACAGTGTTTCTTTTATTCCTTTTGAGTCCTGTGCTCATAGCACATGGAAGGCAAAGGTCACTTCAGAGTTTATGTAGCCTGATGACCTCCTTTTACAGATGAAGGCTTTAGGGCTATGTGAGGTTAAATGAGTTGCTGTCTGGTAGTCAGACTACAGCTAGAGCGGAACTCTTCTGATAATGTTACTTTTCCACCACACTGCTCAAACTTGATTTGGATGGAGTGGCTGATGGTTTTGGTAGCATAGTGCTGGAACCCACAAAGCATTTCTCACAGAAAGCTCAGATCCTGGTTACTGTCTGCATAACCAAAAGCAATTTGGCAGCTCCTTTCTTAGTTTATCTTTTAGAGGACTTAGGAGAGTTGTCTATGGTATTTGCTTTTATACTTTGTTTTTCTGTTTTAACTTCACAGACAATTTGAAATGGTTATTCCCACTGAAGACTCCGTTATCACAGAAATGACATCAACATTAAGAGACTGGGGAACCATGTGGAAACAGCTCTATGTGGTTGGTACATTTTTAATGGTGTGATTTTAGGTATAGATAGTTGTTCTAAGATGTATCTGAACATAACCAAACGTGAATAATGTTTCAATACCTACTATAATTCACTAGGACCCCACGAGTAGTCAGGAATATACATCTTAATAAGACAGACTTATAATCTGTCCACTGCACATGGATTTTATATATATTTTTTCAGTACCACAGAAATATATAAGATGATTTTTCTGTCATGTTACCAAATAGGATGGTTTACATGGACCTAGTAACTCGTGTTGGACTTCCTGAATATTTTTAAATTTCAAGGAGAAATTAACTTATTTTTTGTATAATTTTAGTGACAGTGGTATTTCATCATATTCTGATTCTCCAAGTAATTCACATGTACTCTAAGTAACAGACTTCTTACCCAGAATCAATTAGAATATTCTGAATGCACCACAGAAAATGCTTCTTTAAAAATATTAATTAGAAGTATGTATGCATACCTTTATTTACTTATCATAAGTAATTATATTATTGAGAACTTACTGTATAACAAAGTCACAAGGAGTAGTCCATATACAGATGCTGCATTTCATTTAATCTTTAAACCCGTCAAGGACAATAGTGACTATGATCACCTCCAGCAAACAAATTAGAAAGATGAGGGATAGAGAGTGAAGTACTTATTGTAGACCAAGTGCAGTCTTCCCCCTTTGTCTGTAGTGGAGAATTTCTAACTTGCCCTGGTGGGTGCCTCACACTGTGGAAAACACAGAACACCTTCATTCTGGTTTTTTCCTATACATGCATACATGTGATAAAATTTAATTTGGTGCAGTAAGATATGATCAACAATAACATAAAAAATTAAAAGCTGTAACCATATACTGTAAGAAAAGTTATTTGAAACTTATGGATTATTTATTTCTGGAACTTTCCATGGAATATTTTCAGACCTTGATAGACTGATGGTAACCAAACTCTTGGAAAGTGACTGTGTGGATAAGGGGTGCTGCTGTACTCAGAAAAGTGGCTGAGCTGGGATTCCCATGGCAATCTGGTATGCTCTCTCTGAACTGCTACGTACTGGGAAGTATGAGGATAGTACAGTATTAAAGAGAAAATAAATGCAATTTCTGCTTTTATTTTGAAGAAATTTGTAGAATAGCTTAGTCATGTGAAGGGATTCATTCTGAATACAAAGGTATACCTATCCTGACAAAATGATTTGCAACAGTCTATCAAAGAGAAAATCCAAATTAGTGAGGGACATTGGCACAAAATGACGGCTTTTATTGCCTCTTACATCCAAAGAGCCATAGGTATTCCGTTCAGGTAAGATGTTAAAACGTCACTGATGAAAACCCTTTGATGTTGGAGTTTTCTGCTTTATGCCTTTCTCAAGCCCATGGCTTCAGGACTCAATACAGAAATCCATAAGACAATGTTAGACAAATTACCACAGGGTGTAGCCTTGGTAAACACAAAGTCAAAAGAACTGACCTCCAACACTCAGTGCTAACACAGTACAAAGGGAATGCAGATATCCTTTTTTAGAGTTTTAAAAAATATATACATTGCAAAGAATATAAAACCCAAGTATAACTTCACTTAAAGGGACATTGTGTGTGGCACTAATGCTCAGAAAAACTGAAATGTTTGAACCACTGCATCCTAAATACTCAACAAGGGAAAGTTATAAAAATAAAGATAGTATAAGTATCATCTACTAGTAGAGCTAGAGCACCAGTGCTTTCCTTTTATGTGGTGACTGCAGGGGAACAAAGTTGAATGTACTCTTGATTTTGCCTTATCTAGCTATTTTTAATCTGCTTTTAGAGTTGCAACTATTTTGAGGACATTCATGGATGGTTTGAAAATCCATGTGTAGTACATGCTACAGGTAACCTCTCTTCCTGATGTCTCGAGTAGTATGAAAGAGAGAGAATTTTCTAAAAGATTCCCTGGATACCGGAATATTGTCAGTTATATTAGGAGCAAAAGGAAACTTTAACCCAGAGATACCACATTTTTGACGTTGAGAATGAAACTGACCTGAGCATGTCATACTTTGTGATTTCTCTTTCTCCTGATGAAAATATTTTAGTTTGCATTTTTCATTCTTGACTGTACTTAGGGAGCTACCCATGTTACTTTGCAATAGTTTTAAAACACTTGGCTTCTCTACTTGAAGATGTTTGATGAGGGTAATAATATTTTCTAAGTTGTAAGTTATTAAATGAGATAATATATGTCAAACGGCATAAAAGCACATGGTAAATGTTACTCTTTTAAATAACATCACTAAAAGCCCAAATAATGCTCTTTTAAATATAACTTATTGGCCTATCAGTAATATAACCACCACAAGTTTAGGACAAATACAAAACCATCTTTTATTGAGTATTTATGCAGGCTCTGAGCTCTGTATATTTTACAGAGTTCCTTGTATTTTACATCTCTCTTCCCTCGGGTTCTGCCAGAAAGTTTTTATTTCTGAATCTTTTCAAAGATAATTTATCTGGGGTCCCACATAAAGTGGTAGAGCCTGAATTTAAATCTAGCTCCACTGCTGCCCAAATTTGTGCTTCTTTAAGGCAAATAAAAAATTACCCAATCTCTAAAATGCTGAACAGCTCACAGTTATCTTTTCATTTGGCTTTTATTGCAGGAATTTCTAGATATTGTTTTATTCTAAGTGTTTGATTTTTTTAGCCTACCCCATTCATTTCACACTAAATCAGAAGCATTTTTCATATTTGGTCATCTCTGTCGAGTTTCTAATCTAAAGAATCACAGTTGTGTGACTGCATGTGTAGTTTTTTTCTCAGTAGTAGGGCCTGTGGTATGTCAGGATGACTGCCTCTCTCTGCCCTTGGTTTTGTTCCCTAAAGGGCCAGCTGGCAGTTCTTATTTTTATAAAGAACCCTGCTTCCTTCTCATCTCCATGAAGTATTAGAGATGACATCATAGACAGTGCAGTCTATCCTAATAAAAAATTGCACAGTGCCCTCCCCAAGAGCAGGCAGACAACTGTCTCATGTGACAGTTCAAGAGGATACTGGCTCTCTCCCTTGCAACAAGAGATTTTACTCATTTTATGCCATCCTTACAGCATTTTATTTTCACCTAAGTGGGCTTAAGGCTCTTTCCCACTGCTGAGTTCTTAAGTGGCGTCTTGATCTTTCATACTTCTTTTGTATGCCCTAAACAGAACCTGTCTCTCAGTGTCCACAAAAACTGACACCTGTGCTTGAAGGTAGTCATTCATTTGCTTGTTCATGCATTCTCCAGCTGCTGGGGATGCACACGGCAGATGCAGCCATGTGACGGAGGCTTGCCGTCACATAGAGAGCACAGGCACTGACCGCAGCACAGTTATAAGAGTATCAGAGCACTGTGGTGTAGCTGGTAAAACCACTGCCTGCAATGCTGGCCTCTAGTCCTAGCTGTTCCGCTTCCAATATAGCTCCATGCTAATGAGCCTGGGAAAGAGTTGGAGGGGAGGGTGACCCAAGTGCTTGGGCCCCTGCACCCATGTGGGAGACCCGTAAGAAACTACTGTCTCTAGGCTGGCGCCGCGGCTCACTAGGCTAATCCTCCGCCTTGTGGCGCCAGCACACCAGGTTCTAGTCCCGGTTGGGGTGCCGGATTCTGTCCCGGTTGCCCCTCTTCCAGGCCAGCTCTCTGCTGTGGCCCGGGAAGGCAGTGGAGGATGGCCCAAGTGCTTGGGCCCTGCACCCCATGGGAGACCAGGGTAAGTACCTGGCTCCTGCCATCGGATCGGCCACAGCACGTCGGCTGCGTGGCCATTGGAGGGTGAACCAACGGCAAAGGAAGACCTTTCTCACTGTCCACTCTGCCTGTCAAAAAAAAAAAAAAAAAAAGAAAAAGAAAAAGAAAAAGAAAAAAGAAAGAAAGAAAAGAAACTACTGTCTCCTGGCTTCTGTCTGGTCCATCCCTGTCTATTGTGGCCATTTGAGGAGTGAACCAGCAGATGAATGATCTCTCTCTCTCTCTCTGTCTCTCTCTCTCTCTCTCCCTTCCTCCCTTTCTCTCTATAACTCTGCCTTTCAAATAAATGAAATGAATCTTTTAAAAATTGCCCTAAAAGTTTAAAAAACATAAGAGTACTGTGTGACAACTCAAAAGGTCGCATAAATGTGAGCACAGGCTGAAAAATAGCAGAAGAGGCTCATCAGAGTGCGTTAGAAGTTGAGAGGAGAGCAAGACTAGGCCTGTCTCAGAGGACCACGGATGTGATCCTGGAGAATTCTGGTTTCCATGGCAAACATTAACCTGCACAGTGCATGGAGCTCTTCAAGGCCCCAATTACAAATCAAGCAGAAAACATGTCATTACTTTTTAAAATACTTCAAAATGTTACATTATGACATACCATATTTACCCCTCACATAGAACTTGGTATTTCTGGCTGCTTGTAGCTGTAGAGGATGTCAGGTGGATGATAATCTCAGTTATCTAGTCTACTAGCAACTTCTGTGGTTAAGAAAGATGAATATAGAGTTTAACCTGAATGTCTCTGGGCTAAAATATAAATAGTATGGTTTGGGTATAGAAATAGTATTTATCATAAGCTTACTTGAATCAAGCCCAGTACAATAAAATTCCTAATATGTATTAGTCACTCTTTTGTCACTATGACAAATACCTGGGAGAAGCTACTTATGAAGGAAAGAGGTTTGTTTTGGCTCACAGTCCAAGATAGGGTGGGCCTTACTGGCGGAGTGCAGGCAGAGAGGCAGGATCACATGGTGAGTCACCAGGAATAGAGACCAAACCCACTCATTGTAGAGGTCTGTGTGGTCTGTCCTTAGAAAGCCACCGTGATTCCATGGGGGACTCCACCCTAACAACTTAATCCAATCTGAACATCTCCCAATGTGCTCACCTTCAGATACCATAATTGGATTAAGCTTCTACCCTTACTTAATCCATTAACCATTAAATAAGACTTTGGAGACCAAGTCTTTAACACATGGACCTCTGGTGGACACGCGGACTAATTCCCAAAGCACAGCATGGTAGCAGCTGATGCTTTCATGGTATTTATTCTGGGCTATTCAGCCCTCTGTATCAACAGATTCCTCATCCATAGACTCAACCAGTTACAGATTTAAAAAATTGGAAAAAAATTTCACCTATACTGACACACCACAGACCTTTTTCTTGTCATTCCGTAAAATTACAGTGTAGCAACTATAAACATTATGTTTACCTTGTACAAGCTGTCATAAGTAATATAGAGGTGATTTTAGGTATGGGAGGATATGCATAGTTTACATTCAAATATTACCATGATTTTATAAAGGGACTTGAACATCCAGAGCTTTTCATATCTTCAGAGTATCCTGTAGCCAATCCCTTGCAAATACCAAGGGACAACCTTCCTAGCTCATAACTCCTCACAACCACCAATAAGGTAGGTACTGTGATTCTTACATAAACAGATTACATTGCCAGTAATTTTCAGCCAGTAAATGGCAGAATTAGAATTCAGACCAAGGTCATCTGGCACTAAGTCTGTGCTATAAAACTTCCTTCGCAACTGTCGTCATTGATCTATAGAACAACGTTGCAGGAAAATAGTTCTGCCCCTGTTTCACAGATGACAGAGCTCAGACTCACAGTCTGTAAAGCTAGTGAGTGTCCAGATCAGGATTTGAAGTCAGGCACTTAACAGGTCTTCTTCCACCAAGCCACATAGCTTAATGAGTTTCACATGACTAAAAAATAGGAAAGAAAGCCATGTGTTTTTTTAAAGGTCTCAGTGCCACTGATCACTAGATCTAGATCACTGCAGTGGCAGTCCATCAATAAATGAGTTTGAACACCCTCCATGTGCCCAAAAGCTGATGGGAGATCCAATAAAGCATTAAGACAAACAGGCAAGAAATAATTGGAAAATGATTTTCCTTTTCATTGGTTTTAGTTGCATGCCTCAGAGAAGAGAGAAAAGAATAGGAACAACAATCGCCAGGGGAGATATCCTGATAGAAGTGTGAGTTAGGCTGGGACTTGGAGGACAGTGGAACTTGCCTGGACCCAAGGAAAGGAGCACTTGAAATGGACATACAGGCAGAGAATCTAAAGCACGGAGCCTGGGCCCAGTGTCAGGTATGGAGGTGCAGTGAGAAACAGGAACACCGTGTCTGATGGGGGAGTGTGAGAAGTAAAGCTGGATCTTGGACAGGAAGACAGCATTGTGTTGCTTGCATGAAAAGGCATAGCACACGGAATGCACTGAGGGACAGTACCGCAAGAGTGCGTCTGTTAATGGAGAATGTTTCGTAAAGCAGCAAGCACCTAGAGACAGGATGGCCTTCCTCCTTCCTTTTCCATATGGGGACTGACAGCCAGCTCTCCACATTTCCATGTTTCTTAGAGAAATGAAGGTGATCTCTTCCACCGGCTGTGGCACATCATGAATGAAATCCTGGATCTCCGGCGGCAGGTGCTGGTGGGCCATCTCACCCATGACCGGATGAAGGATGTGAAGCGCCACATCACTGCCCGCCTGGACTGGGGCAATGAGTGAGTACTGAGCCTTGCAAGGCAGTACTCACTGCCTTGTGCTGTGGGTGAACACGGTAGAAACGGCGTGGTAGGAGCAGGGTCTGGCGATATCACTGCAAAAAATCACTTGGAGTTTTCCAGTATTCCCTTTCTGATGCTTAATGCTGGCTAACACTGGGAGAGCCAAGAGCCTTGGCCTCTGAGGCTGGGGTGGCACTGAGACATTGTTTGTTCTCCAGTGCCCTGTGTGGTCTGATGGAGTGCCTGTGCTCAGAGAAAATGAACAGTTCACAAGGATTAACTAGTTGTGGCTTCTGGCTAAAGGGGTCTTATTTTTAAGTGGGCTTTAAGTTTGGTATATGCTATTTGCTTTTTTTTTTTATTATTATTATTGACAGGCAGAGTGGACAGTGAGAGAGAGAGACAGAGAGAAAGGTCTTCCTTTTGCTGTTGGTTCACCCTCCAATGACCACCGCGGCCAGCGCGATGCGGCGCGCTGATCCGAAGCCAGGAGCCAGGTGTTTCTCCTGGTCTCCCATGGAGTGCAGGGCCCAAGCACTTGGGCCATCCTCCACTGCCTTCCCGGGCCACAGCAGAGAGCTGGCCTGGAAGAGGGGCAACTGGAAAAGAATCCAGTGCCCCGACTGGGACTAGAACCCGGTGTGCCGGCACCACAAGGCAGAGGATTAGCCTAGTGAGCCACGGCGCCAGCCCGCTATTTGCTTTTAATAAATACCTTTTCCGGGAAGACAGTGGAGGATGGCCCAAGTGCTTGGGCCCTGCACCCCATGGGAGACCAGGAGAAACACCTGGCTCCTGGCTTCGGATCAGCACGGTGCGCCGGCCGCAGTGCACCAGCCGTGGTGGCCATTGGAGGGTGAACCAACGGCAAAAGGAAAACCTTTCTCTCTGTCTCTCTCTCTCACTATCCACTCTGCCTGTCAAAAATAAATAAACAAATAAATAAATAAATACCTTTTCCATATTACAGCAAGAGGTCACCAATGTAATCCAGAGGGAAGCATTGATGTTAACAGCTTCAGCTAAGAGTCTCATGACAGGTGCACCACTGGGGCCTTTTATTATTGCTGTGATTAGTCCTGAGGTTCATTTTAGCCATTTTGAGGAGCTGCTTAGGAGAACTCAATGAGAAACAGTTCTTGACTGAAGTTTGCTTTTAAATAAAACTGTGATTTATTTAAAATAACAGTCAGGCACTTAAGTAGTAAATCTGAGAGTAAAAAGCTCTGACCAAAGCTGATAGAATACTAAGTATGAATATTAATATAGGAATGAGAGATTAGAATAAGCCAACTTTGCCCATGATCCTAGGTCACATAAGGCTTGGTTGAGGTAGTGAAGTGGTTTCTTAATATCACATGTGGTCGTATCCTCCTGTTCTTTCCTCGCCACAAGGCCCCATTTTCTCTGGATTTTCAAAGGATCTTAGAGCATCAAAAAATGAGAAAAGAAACAGCAAAGAGAACTTGGCAGAAAATGAACCACGGATAAATTTGCCTCTTACTGAATCTGGAGGAACCAATGTGAAACTAGAATGCTGCTTCCACTTCACAGGAAGGAAGTCACTTTATCAGCAGCTGGGTTTGATCCCTGCCAAGATGTTATAGACTACAGAAAGCAGTGCACGGGCTTACTCACAGATTTTAAACTTCCATCTCACTCAGAGTACGGCTGGTATTTTTTTTAAGTACAATATGCCATTCATCTTTTTATGGCCAGTGAATAGAATCGCCTGATTTATTTATCTCTGGAGGATTCATTCCTATGAGAAATAAAGCAGGTGCGGAGTGGTGGCAAGAGAACTGGACTTGACACACTGCTTTTTTAAGACTTGAGAAAATTAATGAACTTTTCTTGACTTTAGGAAGTCCAAGGGCCCTTTGAACTCCAGGATGATCAGATTAAACACACATCCTTCCTCCCACAGGCGAGATTTGCCAGCCGTTTGCATGGAGCTTCCAGTCTTGCCATAGGAGGTGGAGAAGTACTAAGAGGCTAGCTCTAAAGTACTGTTGGAGTGTGCCCTGTGCTGCCTGCCTTTCATGTTTTCCTTCATTGTTTTGAAAAACCTTTGAGTTTCCACTGAATGATATTGACTCTTAATCACCATGCTCATCCTCACTTAAAGCACTTGTTTGTAAATAAAAGGAAGTTGGGTAGAGTTAGTTTATCAAGAATAACTTACAGGGACGGACATTTCGCCTAGCATTTAAGCTGCCTGATGGGATGCCACTAACCCGTGATCCACATCTGGGTCCCTGGGTTCAATTCCTGGCTCCGGCTCCTGACTCCAGCTTCCTGTTTTACAGACACCAGGGTGATTAGCTCCCTGCTACTCGCTAGAAAAACTGGATAGATTCCCTGTTCCAGGCTTTGGGCCCACTCAGCCATGGCCTTTGTGGTCACTTGGGGAGTGAACCAGCAGATGGGAGTACTTTTCCAGACTCTGTCTTTGTTTTTTCTACTCAAATCAGTTTTTAAAATACTTTAAAATGTGCAGGAATGTGTACATAGGTCATGAACAAATACTACATCATTAAAAATATGATATAGAGAAAGCAAGAAAATACTTTTTTGGTATTATGAAGGAAGATGATGGATTAAGGAAAGGGAGAAAGGAGGAAAACCATGACTGGATCGTGACTCAGTTTCTGACTTAAATAAGTTCCAGCTTATGCTTTGGGCAATTCTGTGGCTAATTTATAGTAAGTTGGTAAACCATTGATGCATAAAAATGAGTAGTGTAATATATTCATCCTCAAAGTCATGAATTTTCTGGCTCTCACTGTTTTCTTTGAATTTCATTGGCCACTTACTTGAAAATAACTTTCAGCTTAGAGATTATGCATTTGCCTTTAAGTATAAATTTGTTTTCTTCTTGAATAGTGCTAAGTAGAAAGCCAGGGAAGATCCTTTTCTTGCCATTTCTATGAGATGAAACTGCCCTGCAAAATTATCTGTCCACACATAAATCTGTGGATGAACGTAAATGAAGAATGTGTTCAATGTCAAGTTGTACGTCAAACTGTAGAAGAGTGGTAAAGAGAAGCCCCCTGGATGTGGGAGTCTGGGGAGGAGGAGGAGATAAATCGTTTTGTTCCCAAATGGTGCCAGTCAAACAGGTGCTCTCACCTGGGAGTTTCAGACAGATGTGTAGCATTGGCACTTGTTTCTGTGGCTCACAGAGTCCTCTGATGTCCTCTGACTTTGCCGCAGAGATATTACAGGAGAGATCATCTATTTATCCCTACTCCTCGTGTCACAGAGTAACTTAGTGACCAGTTTGATGCAAGACTTGACTCTCTCTGCCTTCCTGTATCCTTCCTGATGTTCCCCCACCTTGTCTGTGCCTATTTTCTTATCATTTCTCTCTGCCTTGGAAAGCAGTGCCCTGATACTGTAGGCTCAGAAACCTGAATCAATGTTTTGTTTTGTTTTGGGTATACCTAGGAGTTGACAAAATAACATCAAATAAACACAAATAAGATACTTCGTAACAGCTAGGACTCCAGGCAGCTAGTGGAAGCTGGACTGTCAAGACTTAGGGAGAAAGGGACTTGCATAATAGATTACTGAGCCTGAACGCCCCGGAAGGTTCTGGAGCCCACAGCTGCTACGGAACCTGTGTAGCTGCAGCTGATCTGTACTCAACCCTGCAATGGCACAGTCCAGTTGTCTTTCCAGTACCTTTTCCACCCATGCCACATGGCCAATGCTGTCTGGATTTCCAAGTTCAAGTTCACAAAGAAGGACTCTCATTGATAGCCAATAGCTTACTTCAGTTTGGGCTCTACATTTTATACCAGCTTTTCATATGTCACTTCCAGTTCATGGAGTATTTGTCCTTAGGTCAGATGCCTACCTGCAGGCTGGTCAGATGTGGCTCAGGAAGGGGTGATAGTCAGGTGACTGTCTCATCTGTCACCCACCTCCCAGTAGGTAATGTAGGCAGGGAAGCTCCTCATATGAGGAGTTTGGGGTTTGGCAGGCAACACAATTCAGGTGTGGTTCCGTGTCCTCCTTCCTTTGCTGGATATTGTTGCAGCAGCAGCACTGACTTGCTATAAAATGAGGTCTTGGACGGTAGTGCTGTGATTCTGTCTTGGAGGAAATGGAGAATGGGGACCTGCTCCTATCAGAAGTATGGCTGAGGATATAACATGGGGGATAGGGGTCTCTAGAAAGCAAATCACAGTGCTTGTTGTGATTTTAAAGTTCATCTACAGTTCAGCGTGATCACTTTGTGTTTTCTTAAAGGGAAATCTAGGAAAACTAAGAAACTGTCTTAACATCTGAAAGACAATTCCTGATCTCAAGGAAGTTGACAATCTTCTAATCTTCTCAGAACAAATATCCCTCAGGGTGTCTGGGCAGTTCCTGCCTTGAAGTAGACACTGAATTAACGAATTTTACTTATGAAACTTTAGTGAGATTTTGGAAAGGGAATAAAATTTCAGAATTCTTTGTAAAATTCAAAAGTAAGAAAGCTGTGGTTCTGTAATTGGAAGTGCAGGGTCCGCGGCTTCCGTGTCAGAACCATGATGTCAAAGGGATGCAGAATAAGTGATCTCTGGAGAAGTGAGCATGGGGCCTGGGGTGTGGTTACTGAGGGAATTCTCGTGAAGAACAGATCTTTCATTGATCCTTTGGGCACTACAGAAGCTTCATGGAGCTGTGGGACGGTCCCAGCTGGTTCGTGAGAGGAACATTGACATTGGTGAAGTGCAGTGGTGGGTCCTCCAGGGGAGGGTGTTCCCAAGGCCACTTCAGGGTGGGGTGAGAACCTGGCTAGAAGAGCATTCTTACTTTCTTCTGTCCATCCTAGTAAGCACACTTCGCAAGTCACTTACCACACTCCATCGAGGCTTAGAGTACTTAGAACACTTGTCAGCACAGCAAGCCACATGTCAGCCGAAATGACACTTGACCCAAGAGATTAAACCCTTTGGCCTCTCCAGGCCTGCACTGTGCTGCCCAATTCCTGTTTCCTGCCCTTGCTGAATGTCTCATGACGGCCAAACCAAGAACCTGCGCTGAGTGAGAAGTACGCCCAGGTTGTCATACTCCCATTAGAAGCAGGTTAACTCTGGTCATTTTTTGCTCTTTGGGGGCTAAGGCAAATCCTAGAAGCCCAGACTCCCTCTCCTATACTCCCATTTCCAGAGCCAAATAATGTCTAGCTCTAGGTTTTCACCCCATTGTTGTGTGGAAGGGCTTCTCTGATGATATCTTTGGGATGCGGAAGGCTCCCCATAGTGTACAAAGGCCTCAGTGCAGGAACTCTTACCATCCTCTCTCAGTTTGTCTCCCTGACTCACCTTCTGTTTCTCAAGAATGGCCCAGTGTTGTCCATTGTGCTGACACAGTCATGTGGAGTAAAATGGGAAGAGGAACATAGTGGGTGATTCATTCCAACTTCAAGGAGATGCAACAAAAATATTAACACCTAATGTCTTACACAGAGATGACTTTTCTCCCAAACTTTTGCTATTTGTTTTCTAGACAACTGGGACTGGACCTGGTGCCTAGGAAAGAGTATGCAATGGTGGATCCCGAAGACATCAGCATCACTGAGCTCTACCGATTGGTAGGTATAGGAAACCTTGACTCACGGCCTCACTGCTAATTTTGTGGTTTCCATGGCACTCTTAGTACTTGTTTGATTTTGTGGCAACAGGATGTTCCAGGTTTAATTTGGAAGGAGTAAAGAGAATTGAGGGCTGAGGTGACCGTGCCCTGAGTACAGTACTGAGACACTTTACTCATCTCGGAATGCCATGATATTCTCCACCTAGCCATTGGGTAGTACATTCAAAGAAGTTTCAAGTTCTTTTGCCAGTCTTCACACATTTTTGCTCATTAGTGAAATGCTTGCAAGTCACTCATACTTACATGGTGTGTTCTAGCACAGTGTTCTAATGGTCGCTAGTCTTTGCCCACCAAAATGTCAGTCCTGCTCATTTCCCCTATTATCACTGTTTGTATGCCAACTACTAAAGGTATCTGCTCCTTAGTCTTCAACTTCTGGTCTGAACATCTAACTCCTCCCAGGCCCCAATCCATTCCTGAGTGCTGAAATCCATTAATATCCCTAAAATATTTTATCATATTGTCCATAATAATATCACATATGACTTGAGTTTCTTTCTAGTTACCTGATATATTAAAGTCCAGTTTTTTTGTGCTTGCTATCCAGGTTTCCAAATCTGGTCCAATCTGCCTTATATTTAGCCTTGTGTTCTTAAATACATGTATGAAACCTACCCAACCTCTTGTTGTTAACTAAGCTCTCTTAAAATCCAAAATCAGAGAAGAGGGTGGTTGGGAAGGACTTTCAGAAGCCACTGCCCTGAGCATAATGTTACTTTGCTCTCCTTAACTTTTGTGTCTTACCATCATGTTCCTATGAGGAGCGCCTGTTGCAAATGATATTCTTTTTGGAAGAGTCTGCCTCTTTTGTGGCAGTTTCCCAAGCTTACGTTATCTTTTTGAGAATAGTGGAATATTCTTATTTATCTATTTATTCATTTATTTTTTCATCTTTTAATTGAGTTTTTTGCTTTTTTAAAATTAATTAATTTATTTATTTATTTTGTTAGGAATACATATTTCATATGTACAACTTTAGGAATATAGTTATTCTTCCTACCATACCTGCCCTCCCACCCAGACTAACCCAAAAATTATCCATATGTGAAAAATGTGGAGAAATTTCAGTGAATCCATTAGGGTTTGTATCTGATTTGAGAAGTCAGATAATAGCTAATACCGATTTCAGGTTTTTATTTAGTCATTCACCTGTTCTCATTACATTTTACTTTTTCAGTTGCAATGAATTCTGTTTTCATAGAGGATTTCCTTGACTGTATGTTGGTCTTCTTGTGGGTGTTGCGTACTCATGCCTTTGTAGCCTCTGTGCCAAGAGGAGAATCTGGGAATATATCAAAAATGAAGGTGAAAGTTAATGGCAGGGAAACCAGGAAGGAACAAACAACGAGTATTCCAAATTAATGCCTTCCCCTCCTCTTGGCTCAGATAGCATATTTCGTATGTTTGATTCATTGAACAGTCACATCCTTTAATGTGACACCTATAACGTTGTTAGTTTAATTCATTGAGCATCATGTTTTGTTTCACTTTTGTCAAATTTCTCGCTCAAACTGAAGCCCCTTCGGTGACACACGATGCCTTTTACTCCCTCTCTTAGATTGAAAGTAATCTTATTTATTGCTTTGCACATCGGTGTTTTCAAAATTTTTATAACAAAATAGTGTTTTGTTAAGCTTTGTTTTAAATCTTTGCCAAACAGATTAAGAATTATATACTACTATAGTTTTAAAGATCTGTGACTACTACAGGATTTACTTATTATGAGTGAAGTTGAACATCTTCTCATTTGCTTGTTGTTTGTAACCCCTACCTATAATCCTGCTGAATTGTGGCATTTTTACTTTTTATGTGTTCAACTCTTTCTTTAGTGGAGCATAAGCCCTTGATGGTAATGTAAATTAAAAATGTTATCTCAAAAATTAAAAAAAGAGAAAAACATTTTATGGTAAAATGAATAGACTATGAATTGTGGCTCCAAACAACTATGATTTGTAATCTGTCTCTTGGTTTAACTGGATCTGTGATCTTAGAATAAACTATTTAGTCTCAAAGCCTCACTTTCTTCATATGCTTAACTGAGAAGTAATTCTTCTCATGTTTGTGATGAAGATCAAGTCGGAAATGCTGTGAAATGCCTTTCCTTGACATATTTGTCACCTAAGCATTCAGTCGTTTATCATCCTTTTGCATGTTTAGTACATCCATGTTAGACAAAAATGGCAAGGATAGCTGAAACCCAATATGCTAAATCTAAGGATTAGGTTTGCCTAGAGTTAATGGAAAAAAAAATAGAAACTTAGACATAATGGAAATTTATTTCTCAAAATTTGCAAGTCTAGAAGCAAGAAGCTCTAGATTTCTTTCTGGTTTTGTGACATGAAAAGTGGTACAAGGGCATGTTTTTCTGCTGTGGGAAGCATGGCTTCCATCAAAGACATCTCAAAGTACAGTAAAGCTGCAAGAATTCTAGCCATTACATCTCTATTCCAGGTAGCAGGAAGTAGAAAGACCCTCTCAGTTGATTCAGCTACTTTAATGAGCCTTCCTGGAAGTTCCATACAGCACTCACATTTACATTTCATAGGCAGAGCACAGAAACATACCCTGAAGTAGCTAGGGATGTCAGATATTGATAAAATAATAATACCTACATAAATATGTTTTCCCTGGTTCTTTTTATGTATATGCAATCTAATCTCTGTGCTTTTGACTTGTATTATATATAGGGTGACAAATTGATTTTGCTTCTTCTACATTCCAGTTTATTAGCAGTGGTTGCCTGGAGTACAATGTTGATAAATTTCTGAGGTCTCCTCTGGGTCCTGATTGATTAGCGATTTCTGCCCTTGATGGAGAAAATGGGGATATTTTAGTAATTTACAGTCCAGATCCTAAACCAGTGTCTTCATTTTACAGACTAGGATAAAACATTGTGCTTTTCCATGAAAACTTAATTTTGCTTGTAGTAATTGTGCTTTAATGTTTCAAAGGAAAGTCAGTAGCCCAAGAAAAACTCAGTGATTACTGGCTTCAGAAGAACACATTCTCTCTCTCAAGTAGTTCCTTTTTCAAGTTCCTGTTTGTATCCTGGCCTAACAGTAATCAAATTCTCTGTACTCCTGATCTTTCTCTCTGTGCAACATAAACATGACTGACTGTATTGATTTCACCAGGGAGACTTGGGAGGCACCTTCATCAATCTCATGTTGTTGTCCTAGTTTGTAGTTTATTGCCACTCAGTGGTCAAGGACCAGGCATGGAGGTAAAATGCCCCATTAGAGGATATTTGGTTAATTGTTGCTGTTTCTCTTCTGCTTCTTTCTTGCCAATATTAGGTTTGAAACAAAAGTGTTTGGATCTTGCAAAATTCATATTGCATCATTAAAAATAATTGTCTTTGCTTTAGGTTTTTGATAGCTCCATTAGCAGGTATTTCTCATCTTATTGGGTTCATCTAAACAGAAAAAGTGCCAAAGCACTCACAGTGTTAACATGTGTCCAGTTAGAATGTTTGGTTTAGTGCCAAAGGCCAGATCTCTATCTTTCTATAAATAAAGAGACACTTATTAGCTAGGTTCTCTGGATATTTGTTCCTGCAGATTATCTTTTTAGGAACATTTTATGGTTTTATAACATCATATTATTGACTTGCTTTGTAAGATCATGTTATTGAATTGCTTTGCAATCTTTAGTGAGATATACCAGTGGGTCTCAAACAGAAAATTGTGGTTCCCAGAAGCATTGTACATCCCAGGGGACAGTTGACATTGTCTGGAGTTATTTTTGGTTCTCACACTGAGGGTCGAGGTCAAAGACAGAAATATTCAGCCTAAATGGTCAATGGCACTGAAGTTGGGAAACCCTAATAAAGATGCATCTAATAAACAATGTATTACATAAGGATTGAAAATTTGAGTCAGTTAAATAAATCTTTGGGATGAATCTTTTTTTCTCCCAAAGATCTTGTTGCACTATAAACACATTTAGAGTAACTAGTAGATACATTTGTAACCATACATTATTTCAAGATAGATTTTTTTATCTCTGTGTCATAACTGCCAAATTATAGCTCTTGAAGTGTGAACATGCCTTTTGAATTTTGTTATTGCAATAATATTTGCACAGATATTTTTTAGCAATTTGCCAAAGTAGTGAGTTACAAAGAGATAAGCAAATAATCATAATCTACTTAAGTCCAGGTCTGTCCCAGATCTGGAAGGATGGGGAGAGGGGGTGTTACTGGGGAAAATTTAAATGTCAGAGTGTGCCATACCTGAGGACCCTTGTCACATATATGAAGGGCAGAATCAGACAAGCTCATTACCAGCACACATGCAAAGACCAAAAGGTCTCTAGAAATAGTTATTCAAAAGATGCAACAATGCACTTTTCTTCCTGTTGTGATTTCCTTCTCTCTGCATATGATCACCAATCAGTTATTCTCAACTCCCTATGTCCATTGGAATCACCTGGGGAGCTCTTAATACTGTCACTCTCTGGGCCCCCCACATCCCCTAGAAATCCTAATTTAATTGTTCTGGAATAGGACCTAGGCATTAAGTACTTTTTAAAAGATCTCTTGGTGACTTTAAAGTGCAGCCAAGGTTGAGAGCCACTGATCTAGATATATTGGATTTTTTTGCATGAGTAAGGGAGCTAATTTTTTTCCCTCAGTTCTTAGTGAATGTGGTGATTGATGCTGGAAACTTGGCACTGTTTGAAATCAAGAGCAGACACCTGCTTGAGATTGGATCTTTTTGTAAGGTTTTCACCTCTCTCCAGCTCTGACCTTAAAGTAGTCATTCATTTCTTCATAGCAGCTTGTATTGTGTTACTGTTTTAACCAAATAGATCTTGAAATTTTAGGTACATCAACAAATAAGCAGTTCAAGGTGGGGTGAAGCCTTCTTTGTGACTCAAAGAGCTTATATAGTTTTAATAATATATGATGCATCTTCTGCTGTAGTGTAAAGAATTTTCAAAGTACAGAACAATAGAGCAGCCTAATAATGCAGCAGAATAATGCTTTTTTTCCCTACAGTTGAAATATTTTTCTCCAGGAACCTTTTCCTAGTAATTATGCCAACACATGTCACAATGCTTTAAGAAATATACATATACATATTTACCTTCCACTTTAGAGACTGGTATTCAGTGTGCCTGTAGAGCATAGTGATTATAGATGCATTTAGTTTGTATTTTTTCTGCCCTTTACTTTTCAAGTTGTTTAAAGTAAAAGGCATGAAAAATTTACAGTAATTTTGGCTCTAAAAGTTGGTCACCCATTCAGTAGTTACTGAGTTCTATTTAGAAATTTAAGAAGATAACTAATATTGAAATGGAATTAGGACCTTAACTACCTTTAGAGGCTGATTCTATTACCATTGAGTCACAGTTCCTGAGCATCTTTTTTGTTTGTCAGGTGATCCCAATAGAAGTGGCTTTATTAGTGATCAGTGTTGTGAAAGTGATAATCCCCCGCAGTCTTAGCACCTGTTCTGTTAATACAGGCCTCTGCATGTGTTCTTCCTGTCTTCTTGTCCTGAGTTAGTACTATTCAAACAGCAGTCTAAGAACTGGCTAGACTATCAACTACTGGTATCTGGTCCAAATATAGAAATGACAGCTAAGTTATCAGAAACCTGTATAATATTTTGACATTGCCGTGACGTTTTTATTTTATGAAACCATCAGTCTGCAGTGGATTAAGGGGAGAAGCGAGCTGGTCCCTCACTATTGGAAGAGTTTTGTCCTAGATAGTTAATAATTCCTGCTCCTTTTTTAGCTCCTGGCTAACATGTCTGTTTCTCAGGAAACCTTCTATGACTGCCCAGATTCAAGTCAAAATCTCCCTGTAGACTCTCATGGTAATCTCTGTCTTCCCCTCAATTCAGCACAGTCATGGTTTACATATGTATATGTGACAGTTTTTGTTGGTGGCTCCGGCCCTCCCTAGATACCATCTGGTTTTGCTCATTTGTGCAATCCCAGTGCTTGGCACTTAGTACACACTTAACACACGTGTGTTGAATGAAGACTCATCCCCGCTTTTTGCTTGCTCTTGGATCCTTGGGTGATTCCTTTCCCCCTTCACCTGTGGGTACTCTCACTCCTGGTTCTGCCTCCCAGACATGGCCTCAGCTGACTCAATTGAGGACAAATTGTGAAGTGGATAGAGGTGTGAACTAGATGCTATTTCTACCTTGAGCACTGCTCCAGCTTTCCTAGTCCTGTTTCACTATAGCTCCACAGCAGGTTAGAAAGATTCTTTCTGCCCTATAGTAGAATGTAATTTGCCACAGCCCACCTCAGAAAACTACCACAGTCATGTAATTTAGCATAATTTAAAAGAACACTTAATTAGGAGAAATGAGAAGTCATGTGACATTGTTCAGGTACCATCAATAAGATGATCAGTGCCATATAATTTAATTTTTTAAAGGTGACTAATAGTTTCTCCTCACCCTGGGAGTTGATAGGGAGCAACAAAATCCTTTAACTTATTGCTTCCTCAATCTACTCAGTGAGTTGGTATCATTTTAACACTCATTATTTTTAAAAATTCTTAAAGCAAGGTTCCTTGATGATTATCAACTGCATAGTTTGTTATCTTAGAATATGGAAGAAAATCCAGAATTTAACAGCCAATTGGTGAATCTGTAGTGAGAAAAGCATATGTAGCCTAAGACATCATCATCACACTTTAGCTAACTAGTTTGTTGGTTCCATTATCTTCTTCAGTTGATGCTGATTGTGTTTGTGTTGGGGGGTGTCATTCAGATGGAGCATCGGCATCGGAAGAAGGACACTCCCGTGCAGGCCAGCAGTCACCACCTGTTTGTTCAGATGAAGAGCCTCATGTGTTCCAACCTGGGAGAGGAGCTAGAGGTCATCTTCTCTCTCTTTGACAGTAAAGAGAATCGACCAATCAGGTAATCACACATGGAGACAGGACCTGAATTTTTTAATGTTAGAATGCTGGATATTTGTGATCGGCAAGCTAAAATATGTGCTGTTGTACACCTTTACTCTGTCAGCCTCAATTGTCCCATCTGTAGCACTCTGCGACTTTCTAAGCTGCCTACCCTCGGTATGTTTCCAGGACAGTTAGAGGGATGACACCTGCAGAGTTCCTTGGAAAACTCAAAGGGGCTTTAAAGACATAAAAATGATATTAGATGGAAGTATGGTATTGATCTCAAATCTATTATTTGTTTTAGTTATCTTGTATTGATAATGGAAGGAGAATATAGTTCCTCTAGTCTGAAGTTTGTTTGCCTATCCAGAGCCACACTTAGCATCTTCCCAATTATTCAGTAAATGATTAGATTATTTTTATCCTGTCTAGATTGAATTATATGAGGGCACAGCTAAATACTTAAAAATCTTCCATTAAAGTTTCCAAGCTATGAAATGATAGTTTTCACATAGTTTCTTCTCTCTCAGTTCTCTGATGGTACTCTTTCAGTATTTAGAAAAAGGCTAGTATGGATGTTTTTAGTTTTATCCCATAGTCTTTACTCTTGATGAGTTTTTTTATGCTTTATAATTTTTTATATTTTTTAAAAGTAAATACAAAGCACTGTATATTTTAAATGAAAATATTTACACTTAAATTGAGAATTAAAATAGCATAGATCACACACAATAACCCAACTGTATCTAGTTTTTTAAAAAGTTACTTATTAAAATAAATACTAATGCTTGTAAATAATACAGAGCCACATATATTGTTTTATAAACATAAAATTATTTGGTATATTTCTTTTCTGGTAAAATAGATTTATTTCCCTAGGACATATATGTGGATTATTTTTAATGCATTGGTAGCCAAAAAGTGTTTGGTGAATTAATTTATTCACTCATCATTATCTACTTGTAAGTGTACTTCTTATTTCTTGACAAGTGATTGTAAAAATGGGATTTGGAAAGTGCTGTGTTTGTGCAGCAAGGACAGGATTTATGAGGTGTAGAGGAATATCAGTGGTAATACAGTTTCAAAATTCTACTTTGTACACTGTTGGAGAAATCAGTTCATGTGTTAGAAGACCTCTGCCCTGTCACAAATCAGTTTTACTAAATAGGGAAGTTAAGAGCATGAAAAACTGGTCTAAGTTATAGCTTACAACTTTTTTTTCTTTGGAGGTATAGCAAAATATTTATATTCTTTATTCCAATGTAACCTAACAGATAATATTATCATTTTAATAAAAACTTAACAATGAACAGTGTTGTTACAGTTTCTGATCATTAAAAATAATGACAGAAATTATATAAACGATAGGAGTAAAGAGTTGAGAACATTCTTTTATAAGATATCTGAGCTTCCAAAGAAATAGTGTTCCAAACCAATTTTATGTGCTGAATGCATTACATTTTTGTCAACTTAAGATATATATGTACAGATTTCAAAAGTAAAATAGAATGAAGATATAAAATGATTAAATAGAAAATATGCAGAAACATGGTCCATTATAACACCATTACATTGAAGCCTGGAAGAGCAATATGCACTTCAGGTTAATCAGGATTTGTGTCAGAAAATTTAAAAGGGTTACACAGTGAGATGAGCAGATCATTTTCTATGAGGATAGTACAGTGTTTCATATTAGTGTTCATAGATAGAGCATCAGAATATTTAAGAAAAATGCTTACAAAACTGCAAGGATTGCCCAGTGTTTATCAGAACAAATAAATACAATGGTATAAATACCCAACCAGGGGTAATTAATAGTTATCCATATGTCATTGTGCAGATACATCAGCTTACAACTTGATTTCAAAATGTGGAAGGTTATTTATGAGTAGGTTGGTTTAACAAAATCTTTATAAACTATGCAATATACTTGTATGATCGCTTTAATATATATAGTAAACTAGAGGGGATGTAAAAAGAAGAAATAAGATAGCCCTTTTGCTCATTCCTATTAATTAAATTTTCGAAGAGTACAAATTCCCCTTTGCCACTCTTGTTCAAGTTGAATTAACATCGAATTGTTTTGATTTAGGATTAATATTGGCTTATCTCTGAGTTTTGTCTTGTCATAAGCATTTTCAGATGTTCTGAAATGTCCTATTTAGTTGTCAATGTCCACAATTCTCCTTACTTAGTTCTTATTTACTTGGGAAATGTAGAAAAATAATCTGGGTACAGGATCTCCCAAATATTGTCCTTGTTGTCCCCAGGTTGAGGTGAGGAGCTAGGGCTTCTTTCCTAATCTGTAATAAGGCTGAGCTTTAATGATTGCCTGCCCACCACCCCCACTCAGTCTTTCTCGGCCCTCGAGTAGCCCATCTGTTCTATAATGATCCTACGAGGGATCAAGACTGCATCCCTCTCTCTTCCCTTCTTCCACTGACTAGATTTGGCACTCTGTTGTCGCTCCCCCTCTTCGTGGAGGAACGACACAGGACCCTGCGTTGTTCTTTCGTCTGCTCGGCCCTCCCCGGGTTTGCTGCTGGTTCTTCCCGGGTTGGCTACTATCCCTTCCACCTCCGTGGAAGGGCAGTTCCCCCTGGCCACATTCCCCACTTCTGCAGGGGAGCGGCACACCGCCGGCCGGCTCTCTCGGGGGCTGCACAGGTGTTCCTTCAGATGTTCCCCCCAGATGTTCCTGATGCATGCCGTCTCTCTTCTCCTTTATAGTCCTCCTCCGCCAATCCCAACTCGGCTGCCCACACGCCGAGTACGCTGCTCTCCAATCAGGAGCAAGTCCTACAGTTTATTGGTTGAACTGGAGGCAGCTGTGCGGAAGCTGTTTACTTCTCTCCCAGCGCCATATTGTGGGAGAGCAGATGCATAGAATAAGTCTTAATTCCAGTAACTCAGTCCAGTCCGGGCTGCTCCCCACACTCTGTGGCTCTCACCTCTCAACTTCACAATCAATGTGAAGGTGAATTGTGAGGGTGATTGGTGAAAGTATGAATTAGAAGCACAATATGTTTACTAGGTGTTTGGAACGGTCTCAGATTTATTGATTAGATGTTTGTGAGACCTCAGGCAGCACAGTGATTATTTTTTAGGGTGTATTCAAACCCCTATTATGAGTAAGTTTGGTCCAAGCTGTCAGTGACACAGGGCAGTGTCCCCTTCTCTTTGAAAAGGGGCCAAAGGATGCAGAGCTGAAAGTTTGGCTCGATTCCTATCTGCCTTGATGGTGATCTAGCAGCCACAACCTTCCTTTTGTCTATCTTCCTTCATCTCAGAATTGGTAACAAGTCTGGGATTCTTCATTCCACTTCATATAGCTGATGAGTTTGAAGCATCTGTGGCATCTGATTAAAAAAAACTGTTATAAGTACAGGGGCCAGCGTCACGGTGCAGCGGGTGAAACTGCCACCTGCAGCGCCTGCATGCCACATGGGTGCTGGTCCAAGTTCTGGCTGCTCCCCTTCTGATGCAGCTCCCTGCCAATGTGCATGAGAAGGCAGCAGAAATTGGCCAAGGGCTTGGACCCCTGACACCCACATGGGAGATCCAGGTGGAGTTCTAGGGCGCTGGCTTCAGCCTGGCCTGGCCCCTACTGTTGTGGCCATTTTGGTAGTGAATCAGCAGAAGGAGGGTCTTGCTCTGTCTCTCCCTCTCTCTCTAACTCTGCCTTTCAAATCAATCAACCAATCATTTTTAAAAAATAAAAAAAGGTTTGCTAAATGTAAATGACTTTAATTAACTTTTTAGAAAGTTTAAGACATATAAAAAGTAGAACACTGGAAACAGCCCTCATGTACCTACTCACCATCTGCTTTAATAATTATCAACTCAGGATAGATGTTGTTCTAGCCATATCCCTTTCCAGTCCTCTTTACCCCCAGGTTTTTTTTTAAAATGACTTACTTATTTTTATTTATTTGAAAGGCAGAGAGACTGAGAATGAAATATATATAGAGAGAGAGGCCAGCGCCGCGGCTCAATAGGCTAATCCTCCGCCTTGCGGCGCCGGCACACCAGGTTCCAGTCCTGGTCGGGGCGCCGGATTCTGTGCCGGTTGCCCCTCTTCCAGTCCAGCTCTCTGCTGTGGCCTGGGAGTGCAGTGGAGGATGGCCCAGTTCCTTGGGCCCTGCACCCACATGGGAGACCAGGAGAAGCACCTAGCTCCCGGCTTCGGATCAGCACGGTACGCCGGCCGCAGAACGCCGGCCGCAGCGGCCATTGGAGGGTGAACCAATGGTAAAAGGAAGATCTTTCTCTCTGTCTCTCTCTCTCACTGTCCACTCTGCCTGTAAAAAAAAAAAAAAGAAAGAAAGAAAGAGAGAGAGAGAGAGAGAGAGAGAGAGAGATCTTCCATCCACTGGTTCACTCCCCAAATGCCTGCAGTAGCTTAGGCTAGACCAGATCAAAACCAGGGGGCCAGAACTCAATCCAGGTCTCCAACATGGATGCAAGGACTTCAGTCCTTGGGCCATCATTTGCTGTCTTCCAGGATATGTATTAGCAGGAGCAGAGCCAGAACTCAAGCCAAGACACTCTGATATGGAGTGTGAGTTTCCTAAGCAATGTTTTAAACACTGTACCAAACATCCACACCACAAATTATTTTGAGGCAAATCCCTGACCTTGTATCATTTTCAAAGACAAATATATATATATATATATATGCTTCAAAATGCATATCTTGAAAAGGGAAAGGGAAATCCAGAGATATATTTCTCATTGGCATTCAGATTTCCCCTGTTGACTCATAAGTATTTATTTCACAAGTTGTTCAAATCAAGAGCCAGTGAGGGGGTGACATTGCAACACAGTGGGTTAAACTACTACCTGTAATGCTGGCATCCCAATGAGTGCTGGTTCGAGTCCCAGCTGCTCCACTTCCAATCCAGCTCCCTGCTAATGTGCGGGGGAGCAACAGAGAATGGCCCACGTGGGAGACCGAGATTGTAAGCTCCTTGCTTTGGCCTGGCCCAGCCTTGGCCATTGCGGCTATTTGCAGAG